CTTGATAGGCGAGCAAAAGGCTGTATAGCGAGGGTACTTTGCGGATAGCTTTTAACTAAATTATGAGAAACAAAGGTCGCTCTCCCATAATCAATAATCAAAACTTCATCTTAGACTTTTTTTTTTCGTCGAACCTATGATCACTTTCTGAAGACATCTATGAACATATTACAGAGGTTAGAAACTAGCCGAAGTTGCTCATCAAGAATTTCATCATGATAACTTTCATCAAGAATTTCAAATATCGCAAGCTAAGCCGACTATGTTGTTTCTTATTTTATTATTAATTTTTCATTTATATTGAAAATGTACTCAAATGGTCTTAGAAATTAAGCCGAGGTTTGCCAGAAGGGATCAGTGTGATGCTGGAATTGTTTAGTTGTTTATATATGACAATGGATGAAACAGGCGATTCATCGCTACACTCCAGCGTCAGCCAGCCAAGCGGACAGCAAGCAGCGAAAGTCGTCCAAAGGGGCCAAAAAACTATTGCCACTAAAAGAGGTTTAACTTAGAAACTGGATAAAAGTTTTTTTTGATATATCTTTACAAGATCGAAAGTTTTGGAATATAAATTAGTAAAAAAAAAAAATGGGAGTATGTGTCAGCCAGGTTGGATTAGACGATATTAATATGATTCACAACTACAATCGAAGTTGTGTTGTCGTCGTCAGTTCACAACACTCTCCCTCTTCTTGAATTCTTGTGTCGTTAATCAATTGTGATTTTCATTGCTTACAACCTAACGTCAGATACTTGTCGGGCTATTATAGTTTCCAACAGTCTTAAAGAAACGCAGTATTCTGTTGTCGATTTACATAAGTCTTCACAACTGATTACAGAGACAATTGTCGCTAATAAAAATCTAACATAACAAATATGCGGAGAAATAAAATGGAAAGCAAGTACGTAATAAAAAATGTATGTTTTGTAAAAATTATACATAAAAAATATTTATTTGTAGTATTAAAATTACAATCAAAAAGCAATTCAAAGCTATGGTAGAATGGATGAAGCAACATCCGGACATTGCTAAAGGCAAAGGACACTATGGGTCAAATAAGTGTCAATCGAAAGTGAAGATGAAAGAGTTGGCTTCCGAAATGAACGCTTATGGACCGCCTATACGCTTGCCTGAAGAATGGCTAAGGGTATGCATTTCAATTCCATCGCACTACGTATGGTGACGATCAGGCTTGATCGGTTTTATTATTCTCACTTTCTTCTTCTTTCAATAAATTTCGATTTTATAAATTTTCATAGCAAATTTTAAAGCAAATCTTAAACGCAAAATGGCAAATAATAAAAAAAGTGTGCATTTAAGTCCTATGGAAGAAGCAGTAGCCAATTTGACAAAATGCAATGTGTTGACGAAATCATTGCGAGCATCACTGGGCTCAAGTGGGAAAAAAGTGAAAGAAAAGAATATAATAGATGTACAGCTAAGTAACCAGTCGAACTCAAGAACGATAAAAAATGAGGAAACGCATCAATGCGTGTCAAGGGAAAACATTAATGAGGACTCGAAAGAACATAACGGGCCGATTAGCTGCGAAAAGTTAGTGCCATTTCCACAGAGCGGTTACGGCATTATCTTCAAATTTAACTAATCCCGTGGACTTTTTTTTTGGTGTAGGTTGCTTATTCTTCTTCTTTTTTGGTGTAGGTTGCTTGTTCTTCGTCCTTTTTGGTGTACGTTGCTTGTTCTCTTTCCTTTTTGGTGTAGCTTGCTTGTTCTTCTTCCTTTTTGGTGTAGGTTGCTGGTTCTTGTTCTTTTTTGGTGTAGGTTGCTTGTTCTTCTTCCTCATTATTGTACTATTTATTGAATCGCATCGAACACAACCACTTTTATAATAAAACGAAACCTTTTTTGAGAATTGAGTAAGCGCCAAAGCGTTATCAATAACAATGTTGCGCCCATTACTGAGTAGCAGGTTGAAAATCCCGAAAGAGGAAGAAAATCTGTAATCTGTAGATGTAATCTGAAAATCTGGAGGAAGCAAATCTACAATATTTACGAAATGAATAAAATTGCTTAAGCAAGCGCTAGCAACACTTAACAGAAATCCGTTGCAGCTTCCGCTGCAGTCGCGAAAGATTGTTTCTTGTAGATGACACTAATTTTTTCGTCCGAGCAGAAATACTTAATTTTTTACATAATCTCTTCTTTTGTTGCAAAGACGGAACAAAGTAATGCCTCGCTGTAGAGAATACTTGAAGCAATCAATTTGTTATCATTTTTCCATAGTGGACGCGCACCACTTTTTCACTGCAACGCCTTTAAACCTTGCACGCATTCATATGTATAAGAGCCATAATTAGTTTTTTTTGATAGCGACTTCACCATCGAATCAATTAAGCTCTGTTTTATTCATGCATAGCTTCCGAGTAGAATTCAGAACTTCCATCTGTCGGTTTGCTCGCCTGCGCAAGTTTGCCGCAAACATTGCAAGTTATTGCAGACAGTGTGATATTGAAAACGGGTTTAACTGATCAGAGAACTTGGCCACAGAAGAAGACACATTGAGAACATTTCCGTTTTGAAAAGCAGAAAAGCTCCCTTTTAAGTCGACTGCAATCGGCGAAAGGAAAACCTAACAGTTCGCTTTCAAGTGATAAGCACGAGAGTAAACCAAAAATTTTAACAAATTTCTATAACTGATATCGTTTTCATATTTGTTATCAAAATTTATTCCAACATTAACAAATGAATGTCTAAATAACTCTTATCACTTGATTAATTAATGCTCCCACTATTAAAACACGTTTTCAATTTATTTAATTTCATTTGATTATTTGTTCGGTGTTGAGCGTGCTTTAGTTGTCGGCCTATCATTAAATGCCCTATACCACTTCGCTTAGTACAGGTATTCACATAGTAATAGGAGGGTATTTCTCAAGTCCTTCATACGCCTTCACCCTTGCACCGCAATTAGTGTATGGTATGAAAAGATTTCACTTTTTGTTCCCCGCCGTTTCGCCACACGTCTCTTGCGTCTATTCACGCAAGGATGCATTTTTTTTCATATATAGCTGCTTACGCATGTAAGAAATCGTCCATTGCAGTCAATTGTGATCTAAAGGGTTGATATCCGTTGGGTTAGCACATCCTAGCTCCTTTTACTTTTCACTTTTACCCAATGGATTTTTTTAGTTGCAAAACGGAAACCGGGTAGCTGTTATATTTGACTGCCCACGGTGATGGTACTGGTGGGTGGTTTCATTACATTAATATTTTTACCTCATGAACGACCGTGGTTAACCCATATTTTCTACCACGGTTCGAATTAGAGATGAAGAGTAGTGCTTTCAGCGTTTGGAATCGTTCATATTGGCGTAAGGACGTGACCATTGCGCAGACATGTGAGAAGACATCAATTAAAATAAATCGTAAGCAAAAGGAGCAATATTTGATGGAGCAACGCAGTTCGGTTCTTCGTTTTTCACTTTCCCTGAATGAGTTTCGCGAATCATCGTTGTTGTTGCTATAGTTCCCTGGTTGTAATTGACCTCAACGTCAGTTCAATTGACTTGCATTAAAGTTTCTTGTCTTTCGAATTACAGTGGCGGTGTATGACTGTGTAGTGCTGGTTTCAGGGTTTGGGTTCCTTTTTGCGTGGAACAGAAGTTAGACGGAGCTAAGTTGGTTGCACTTTAAGAAGCGTGTACTGGTGCGTAAAAGTTAAAGGTAACACTTTCACATGGAGTCCCGGTTTGATTCAATGACTGATAGCCTCAGATGTTAGTGCTTTAAGACTTTAGTCTTAGAATTTATCCCTCTTTAATTTCTTCGGATTGGATAGAAACTTCCTATCGTCGTATTCCTCCTATCAAGATGTAAATGCAGAGTGTCCCAAAAAAGTACTGGCCTCGATTGAATGTAAGGTTTCTCGTTGTTGAGACTTTAGGTTAAAAAGATCTACAGAGAGCTTCAAAAAGTGAGCAAATAATTCGTCTTTGTTTGTGTTTTTTAAAAACTCTGCCAAAAACATAAATTTTGTCAAAGTTTGCTTAATGGAATAATATTTTCTTTATAGATATGTAATTTTTTTCAATTTTGGCTTTGATGTAAAAGTAATTCAGGAAAGTAATAAAAATAATTTCGTTTCTAACGTCAAGATGAAAATATTTTTAAACCCATAATTTCTTTTATTTATTGATAATTTATTTCAATAAACTGCCAAAAAATATATAGAAAAAAACTAGTTTTTTATAGATTTATTTTTATACTTTTAAAAGTCATAAAACTTTTGATGTTTCGTTAGTGACGCATAAAGAGGAACAAAAAAAAAAATAACAAAAAAAAAAAAATTAAATATAAATGTAATAAAAATGGCAAAAAAAAAAAGAAAACTAAAAATCAAAGTTTTTCAAATAAAGCAGAATTTATTTCCTTTGCGAGAGGAATAATTTGCTATAAAGTTTAAATAAAAATCATTCATTCATTTCTGACTAAATTTTATTATTATAGGAAATAATATTTATTCAAAGGTTCTTTCTTTTTTGTTTGCGAACGACTTTTTATGTGTGTTTGTTTGTTTTTTTCTTACACCAGCGAATGCCAAAAATTCTTTGGATCATTATTATCATAAAACTTGTGAAAAATTTGTTTACGGTATTTGTCAAATTGCCATTGTCAGTATGCCAACATAGAAAAAAAAAACTATATATATATAAAAACTATATATATAGTAAAACAAAATTTTTTTCCTTTTTCCCCGATGTTGACGATGTCAACTGCATTTGGTTTTGTATGAGTAAATAACTCGTAGTATTTTTGCATAGGGTCTAAGCAAGCAAGCGAGCAAACGTGCCAAAATGACAAATTACTTAGAAAATACAAGTTAATGCTAATTCTTTGCCATTCTCTCTCATAATTTTTTCTTTTTTTTAAAACAAAAATTGTACCAATAAACCAAAATCTCTTTAACGTTTTAACAAAACGTTAAACATTTGTCACAACTGTCATGTCATTTGATGTGCAATTGGTTGGTATTTACCTTTGGCCATCGACCGCAAACTGTTCGTTTTGTAGATAAAGTTTGATATATGGTTGTCTGGTATGTAATTTATAACGACAATTTAAGGCTCGTGGATATAAGCCGGGATAAGCGGGAGATTGTACATAACAGGTTTGTAACCGGCAGTCACGATATTCGCGCTCGCAATAAGAACTGCAAGAGAAAAGAGAAAATGAAAGATGCGTTTAATAAAATGGAATGGAAAATAATCATATAAATGTTTTAAGTAAATCCTAAAAGTACTTGACGTTTATTTCAAAATAATTCTCAATTTGTTTTTGTAGCCTACATCACTTACGGTATAACGGTTAGTGAGGATGTATTCAACTATCAGAAGGCCTTGAGATAGACTCGTCGTTTATTATACCGATCGACTGAAAATCACTTTTTGAATCAAGTTAAGCATATCTATCCGTCTGTATGTCTTGTTTTCTTCTGCCCAATATACAGGCGGGAAGATATTTTGATGAAATCTGATACGTTGCGACGTGCTTTGAGCCAAGGAAGATTGCCAGTGGTAGGGATCGGATCACATTTTCAACCACTACACATGTAAGTCCTTATTTTGAGAAGTCGTTATATGAGTAACTATAATAAGCGAAGCGGTGTAGTATCCCGCATACAAGGTTTTTCAATAAATTCTAAATTTGCGCTAAATTCGATAAATAAACGTTTCATTTTTTATAATAATAATAATTGGAAGTAAAGGAAGCAGAAAGAACTATCGATGGAAATTATAGTTCTCTGCTTGGGAGTAACGGATCATTTGCATGTGAACAAACTCTACATTTATTTCGTGTGTACTGTAAGAAAATTCTCTATAGAAATTTTCCTTTGATTAGATCTATGATATATAAGAATTCTGTTGGGGTAATGTAAAGTCGATTCAAATGCGGTTATTACTTAAATAACAATTGTAAAGATTAATATTTTTTCTGCAGGAAAGATTCTGTTCATTTATGCAACCGCTTAGGCTAACTCCAGCGGTTATGCTTAGTGTTCGTAAAATATACGATATGAAGTGATTAATATAGGCCTTGGTTGGTCGGTTGTTATTCAAGAGTGACATACGATGTGTTCTTATCATCTCACGCTCCGACAAGTCATTTCTTTCTACTAAACAATTCAGTGTTATACATGTTTATAAAAATGTTTCACTAGCGATATGCTGATTATCTCAGTTACTACCTAGATGAGAATAACTTTACTGTAAATAAAATAATCACCAATCAGCTTAACCAAGTAGTTTAGATTATCGGTTAATTATACATTATCTATCTGTTAGCCATGGAATTCTACTGGAATGGAATGGAATTCTACTTCGAATTAAGTCAGACGTCTTGGCCAGTCGGTTAGAACGTCTGATTTCCTATCGGATCATGCCTAACTGGATTCCTACACGAGCTTATCCCAATCACATGCTTACTGATTTGATTTATGCTAATCAGCGATATTGCACTAATAATGAAGTAATTAAGAAGGAAAAGGACACTTATTCTTGTTCGCCTCTATACCTCCGTTCGAAATCAAATTGGCATTACCAGGCGATTAACTGATCGCTTTCGAAGTACTCTAACTGGTCTCTAAACAACTCTAAGCTAATAATACGTAAAAATAGCTTAAAGCACGCTTAGCTAGTAATATATATAGGAGAAGATAACTGCACATAAAAATACCTTAAACTACGCTAAATACGCTATTCTAAGCGTGTTGTTTGTCACACAACATCGAAAACTTGCTGATTGATTTTTGTAACTCTCTAGCTCTCTTCTAGTTAGAATTATTCAATAACTTGGTTGGCATTTTACGCAGCTTAAAGGGTATGCAGGTCAATTCAATTGGCTTGCTCTTTACGGTGTCTATTATATAAAGCAATAAAAAACTAAATCTACTTTCGAAACTATATCTAAATAAAAGTAAGAAGCTTTCTTTCTCAAGAAGGAAGTCGTTCATTTCTCAGTATTTCGTTGATTCGCACAAGTTGGACGACGTCGATTCGTTCACATATTTGATTATAGGTTACGTTTCAATTTGCATATTGATATCTCGTTAAGCAAACATAGGTCCGCGCTTGGTTTTATAAAGAGGTGGTCCAAAGAGCTGGATGATCCTTACATTACGGAAAGGTTTTACATGTGTTTGGTTAGACCTATACTTGAGTATGCCTCTGTTGTGTGGTCTCCTTCATATAGGTGCTATGTAGATTCAATTGACCCTGTTCAAAAGCAATTCTTGGTGTTTGCCCTTAGCAATTTGGATTGGGAACCGATGACTCCTCTTCCACCCTATGAAAATAGGTTGCTTCTGTTCTCCTTACCGTCCCTGGAGAAACGTAGATTTGTTCTTGGGGTTTCCTTCGTAATCAAATTAATAAATGGTACAATTGACACGCCCGCATTACTTCGTGAGATAGGCTTTAATGTCCCTAACCGCTTCTCTAGGCACTTTATCTTGGTTAAGCTTAGTCAGTGTAATATAATTACGAACTGTTTAACCCGCTCAGAGTAGTTTGCAAGAACCTAAATGACGTCTATCACTTATTCTCGTTATCGGACTCTTTAAAGTCTATTAAAGCAACATTGCTTAATACGCGCGATTTACCTATGTCTTACTTAAACTAGCTTTTATCCCTAAAAGTCGTTACGATTGGAAAATGAATTGCTGTTAACTATTATCGGTTGTCAAACTTATGCATGTTTGCAATGGCTTAAAGGTTCACTTGCAATTTGGTGCTGTACCGGTTGTGGGTGTAGCTCTATGCTAGTTGTGTACATCCTTTTTTTCTTTTTTTTCCTTCTTATTTGTTTTATTGTACTTATACTAAGTTTTAAAATTAATTAATTTAAGATTTACTTTACGAGTCAATTGAACTCGACTGCCATTTTGTTTTAGTTGAGTTTCTTGTATAAGTGGAATAAATAAATAAATAAAAATAAAATAAAAAGAAAAACTTCAAAGAACAGATTGATGGACAGTTGCCCTATATCCAATTACAAAATTTGTCCTCACATAAAATTTAATTAATTTCCAAATGGAAGACGCAGAGTATGATGTCTATTCAGGCTTCTTATCTTAATGGGCTCATCTAGAAGAAATTTTGCCAAAGGATTTTCATGATTACATAGTCTCGATTCGATTTTTAAGGAATGAAATATCCATCTCATCATAAATAATTTAGTTGCAAACGAGTAGCGAGTAGCATTCACAATAAGAATAAATAAAAATTTATGGCATAGATTGCCTTTTTCTTCCCTTCACAATCAAATAGGGAAAGGGGGGTTAGCTTTTAATCGGCAACGATTATCGAAATCCAAAAAGTGCTTCAAGCCGCGAAGGGGAGTATCACAAAGGAATTTTCTTTGAGAAATTTCTGATTTACGGTTGAGTACGTGTGCCGACCAAAGTGTGAGTAATAACAAGCTGATAACGTCTTTTGATTAGACCATATGACAAAAGAAGACGATAATATATTTTATTCATTAAGATGAAGTTAATCAAAACGAAATTCAAATTATAAATAAACATTAAACAAAGTCGTCCGTAACACAAATCAAATATTTATTGTTATATCTTTGGTTAGTTGTGATGTCATAAGCAAACTAAGCTGAAACGAAAATGCTTATTACCACAAGGAAAAATGTTCAAACGTTTCAAATAAAATCTTAAACGAGACATTGTTTAATGATTTGGAAAAGAGGAAAAAAAAAAAAAAAAAAAAAAACAAAATAAAACGAAAGTCTAGGAAAATGAGAAAAGTCATAAAGCAATTCACATAAATTGTACTAATGGTAATGTGTATCATGATTGTCTATTAAAAAAAAAAAAAAAAAGGAAAGAGAAGGATCTCTACAATAATCTTTTAATTTATTAGAAGAAAACGATATACTTTCCAAATTTAATGTGAACGCGTAAGAAAGAGTTAATAGTATTGCGGCTAAAGGCATGTAACATGGAGCAAAAATATCAATTAATTGGGTGCGCTGGCAAAGTTACATGAATTGAAACTCGAATTGACATCTTATCGAACGTATGCCGCAGAGTTGCTTTTCAGTGCGTCTATTAACTATTAACTGTTTGCATATCTCAAAATGTTGCTCCAAAGGAAAAGATTTGGATAAAGTAATGATGATTTCCTCGGAAGCCAAAGCATATTTTGAGGGACTTGACTAATAGTTCTACAAAAAAGGCATCGAAAAGCTGAAGAATCAGAACAGGCACATTGTATCATTTCTGAAGGAAACTATATTGATGACTGAAGTAAGAAAATATGGTTTGTCTGTCACTAAGTCCCGGTATATATTGACTAAGCGAATACTGCAATTAGTAGAAGGGGTTGTAATTGGTTAGTGGTTCATTAAAGTAAAATTTCAATGTCTACTCACTAGAGGCATGAACTGAATGAGCAGATGGATGGAATGAAGTTTTCATCTTCTAGAAGCTTTGTAACCCTGTTGTGTAGTGAAACGTCCTAAATTCTTGTCAAGTCAAGATTACGTATTATCAATGAAAGCCTAATAAGATTTTTTGGATCTTTCCAAGACGGTCTCAATATTTTTTGACTTTACTTAAGCAAACGACGGGAAATGTCTAGATAAATGTACTTGGAACAGGGCGAGAGATACTTCATAAGGTGTTTGAAGCGACCTTGCGACTATAATGATAACATTGGTGAAAACTCCTGTTGAAGTGCGGCGATTATAAAGGTCTCCAAAGCGCTCTGTTAACACATTTGTTTAAATATGTAATTTGAAAGCCAATAACCTTCTAATGATATTAAGCGACCTGAGATGATATGTTTGCCGCCATTGAGGGTAGACAAGATTTGTCTAGAGCGATTTGAGTTTGCAAAGGTACAGAATTGGGTCTCAGATATGTCATTATATATGTATATTAAGTGAATGCATATATATAGTTTTGAAAGTCCTGAATGATGGGAGTGAATTCGTAAACGCTGTTCCCATATCTCGTTAACTCAAGTTTTCTTAAAATTCCGAAAACGGCGTCAAACGTTTGGATACAAAATCAAATGTCTTTCAAGAATGTTATGTTCAATCGATCGAGAGGCATGCCAGGTAACAGAAAAATAAGAATTGTTCAAGTTACTTTCGTAGTTGGTAGTAGTCATGGGGTCACCAAGTGCAGTCAATTAATAAAAATTTACTTAATTGAGGTTAACATGACCACAAGTTGAACTACTTACAATTCAGAAAGTGATGATGGTGTGTAGAATTTGCATAAGTGCATAAATATTTCGGAAATATTTAGCGAAATCCGTTCATTACTCTGTCCATTCGTCCTTCGTTTGTCAGAGGTATCGCATCGAAACTTGGTTAGGTCTGTTCTTCGTGAAGTTTGTCAAACCGGATGTAACACATTTGTAAAATGCCGTTCCCAGCATTTAAAAGACTAAATGCTTTAGGAAATTCTTTTGAACAATTTTTGCATATAATAGCTTACGGTGTTGAATATGTTTTTTTTTTGTTTGGATTATATTTACGTAAAATGAAATCTTCACTTTATTATGTCCTTTGCATGCTTTCTTTCTCCATAACTTATTGTCAAGAGTAATGAAAATTTAAGAAAAAGACTACTTTTATGTAGTGTTACTTATTTTATTTCAAAGAAAATATAAATTCCATTACGAAAGAGTCTGATGATATGGCTTTTCGAGTCGTTGAAAAACAAGTACTCTAACGTCACTACTCTCTCTCTCTGTAATAGAGAAAATGGTTGCATTTATATTTATTTCACAAGTACTTACCCTTGCACTACTTCCCCTCGTCGATTGGGATATAATTCCGGATGTTGACCGTAACGTAAATAAACTTCAGTTTGCTGTTCAGCACGCGAATCAAAAGTGAAATAAGTCTGCAATTAAATTAAAACATGATGTGAATTTTGTTTCTTTCATATAAATGTTTTCACAAATTTAAATTTAAATTGAATTTTCTTTCAATTTAGCAAACATCATAGAAAATGCTGTGTTTAGATTTTTATATAAAAGCAATTAAGGGAATAAGTTACCTTAAGTCAAACCCAATCGACTATATATAAAAGAGCAAACCTTAAAGTAAAAACTGTTTGGAATCACTTATAGACCACACTCCATAAATTCCCGATAAATATTTATGACTAATTTTTCATGGCTCAGTAGTGGGAATAGGTGACAAAAATTGACTGGCGCAACTAGAAGTGAGGAGGAGGAAGAGGAGGTTTTTTTATCTACTTCGCTCCACTTGATATAAACGAGCAGTTTTTGTTCTTAAGTTAATAGTTCCCTAATTAACATCTCTCTTATATGTCTCCAATATGGTAGGTAATCTATAGGCAGGTAATCTCTGAAGACTTTCGATATGATATGTACCGATAGATAACGGTTATTGCATTCCAATACGAATTACAAAATTTATGAGCAATTCTCATCTACTTTTTCCCGATTATGTAAACGTAAGTTACTGATATGATAATACCTCACGAGATATGCAATGCAATAGTTCAGCGGGTTGTTTTTCATTAACGTCCACCTCCTACTCTATATTCTTAAGATCCTCATAGAAACTCTCATTTATTTATTTATTTATTTATTTATTCCACTTATACAAGAAACTCAACTAAAACAAAATGGCAGTCGAGTTCAATTGACTCTTAAGTAAATCTTAAAATTATTTAATAATAAAACTTAGTATAAGTACAATAAAACAAATAAGGAGGAAAAAAAAAAGAAAGAAAAAAAAAAGCATGTACACAATTAGCATAGAGCCACGCCCACAACCGATACAGGACCAAATTGCAAGTGAACCCCTAAGCCATCGCAAACATGCATAAGCTTGGCAACCGATAATTGTTAACAACAAATTAATTTTCGACTCATAATGACAAAATCTAAGGTTAAATCAGTTTAAGTACGACATAGGTAAATCGCGCTTGTTGAGCAATATTGCTTTAATTGACTTTAAAGAGTCCGTTAATGAGAATAGATGATAGACATCATTTAGGTTCTTGCAAACAACTTTGAGCGGGTTAAACAGTTCAAAGTTATATTTGCATTGACTAAGCTTTATCAACATAAAGTACCTAGAGAAGCGGTTAGGGACATTAAAGCAAATCTCACGAAGTAATGCGGGTGAATCAATTGCACCATTTATTAATTTGATTAGGAAGGAAACCCCAAGAACAAATCTACGTTTCTCGAGTGACGGTAAGGATAACAGAAGCAACCTATTTTCATAGGGTGGAAGAGGGGAAATCGGGTCCCAACCCAAATTCCTAAGTGCAAACAGCAAGAATTGCTTTTGTATAGATTCAATTGAACCAACGTAGCATCTATATGAAGGAGACCACACAACAGAGGCATACTCAAGAATAGGTCTAACCAAACACGTGTAAAGCCTTTTAGTAATATAAGGATCATCAAGCTCTTTGGACCACCTCTTTATAAAACCAAGAGCGGACCTAGCTTTGCTTAACGAGGACTCAATATGCAAATTGAAACGTAACCTATAATCGAATAGAACGCCTAAATCAATGAACGAATCGACGTCTTCCAACCTGTGCGAATCAATGAAGTATTGGGTACTAAACGACTTCCTTCTTAAGAAAGAAAGCTTCTTACATTTATTTAGATTTAGCTTCAGAAGATTGAGGGAGCACCATGCAACCAAATTGTTCAAATCACTTTGAAGATGATGTGATTGCGATTCTATGGAAAAAGAAGAAAACAGTTTCACATCATCAGCATACATTAAAATCTTACTGAATTTAATCACGGAGGGCAAATCATTGATGTAAAGATTAAATAAAATAGGTCCCAAGTGGCTACCTTGAGGTACGCCAGACGTCACGGGAAATTCATCCGAGGTAATGAGGTTAAACAAAACCCTGAATGATCTACCATACAGATAAGAGCTTAACCATTCAACTAAGAAGAGAGGAAAGCCAGAGGTCTGGATTTTAAATCTAAGAAGTCTATGATTAACCATATCAAACGCCTTGCTAAAGTCAGTGTAAATGACATCAGTGCGAGAACCACTAGAAAAAGCCTTGAAAACATGAGAAGTAAACTCCAACAGATTGGTCACCGTAGATCTTCCCTTTCGAAAGCCATGCTGGAAAGGAGAAATATACAATTTCATGGAAAAGGCTATATGCTGAGCCACAATTCGCTCGAACAGTTTAGGTAAGACACTCAACTTGGCGATGCCTCTGTAGTTCTCTACAAGTTGCCTACTACCACTTTTGTGAATAGGAATAAGGAAAGAAGTCTTCCAACACAAAGGGAAAACACCTAAATTCAAAGACTTATTAAAAATCTTTGAGATAACATCACAAAGCTCGCCAGCACAAGATATAAGTACACATGAGGGGATGCCATCGGGTCCAGGCGAACAATTATATTTCAGAGAGTTCAATCCTTCAAAAACGTCATTTTCCGATATAAGAAAGTTAGGAATTGAAACCGAATTAGAAATCGAATATGGATAATTTTCCGATAAATCAAAATTGGCAGTTGAAAAGTTCTGTCGGAAGTATTCCGCAAAGAGATTTGAGGATTCAAAATCATCCGAGGACTCGGAGCCATTAAAAGACACAAACGACGGGTTTATGGAGATTTTTCTTTTGGAATTAACGAACTTAAAAAAAGTATTTAGGGTTAGCAAACAAGGAGGATTTAACAAACTGAAGGTATCTGCAGTAGTATTGGCGGTTGAGGGAATTAAATTTATGCCTTGCAACAGAGTAAGCGAAATAGTCGAAAGAAGAACCACTTTTCGAAAATTTTTTGAACAACTTGTTTTTCCTATTCTTGTAGTATTTAATTGTCTTATTAAACCACGGGGGATCCTTACTTCGAGGACGGGACTGCTTGATCGGAACGGATGCAGAAATAGCTTGATTTAATACATTGTAGAACGACGACAGTAAGCTATCAATGCTTCCCTCTGAGAAATCGAGCACAAAATGAGAAAGATGAGATTTTAGTATGGAAACATTGATTTTATGGAAATCATAACGTTGATATGAAAAATTTGAATTTGGAACGTTAAAGAGGTTCAACGAACCAACAGACTTGTAATGAAAGGAAACACCCAATGCTGGATGATATGGATCCTCAGGTAAACTAAACGGAAGACAACGATTAACGCAAACCTCAGGAAAATTTGCAAAGCAGAGATCAAGAAATCTCCCATTACAATTAGGGGTACCATTGTATTGAACTAAATTATTATCAAATAATTCATTGAAGAACACAACGGCTTTATCAGATGTTGAGGAAGGAATCAAACAGCCAGAACTATCACTGTAAAACCAATTGACTTGAGGCAAGTTGAAGTCACCCAACGCAAGGACTATATCGGTAGATTTAGATTGCTTGGCCACTTCACAAATGAGGGCGGCCTGTTTCTTATATACAGAGATATCCGAATTTGGGGGAATATAGGAGCAGGTCACATATAAGTTTATGCAACGTTTAACGCAAGCAATTGCACCCAATTGCCGTAAACGTTAAAATACAAAATGTTTTTTTCATAAAACCTTCCGTCGTAACATATTTTGATGAGATTCGGTACAGCCAAGGATGAACAATATCTCTTCAATTGCGTATATGTTGGGAAAATTTGAATTAGAAGTTTTCTGAGCTTTTGTTTATTTTCATCGAAAAGTCTTATAGGTAACAATAGTTCTAATATGGAATCAATAGACGCCCTATGTTGCTGTCGTTAAACAAAGAAGGGAGTTATTTGATGCGGCTTTATTCCTCAATCAATCCACGCAAATTAAGGCCTCCGAAGCCGTAGGAGAATAGCCGGAAGTCGCACGTAACTAAATCAAGTGAACAGAATGATCGCGGAATGAATTTATAATAAAAGAGGTTCGAAGAATCCAAGCAGTATGAGAGGGTGCATTAATGTTATGCGAAAATCGGAAGCCGTCAATACATAATTTTGAGGGAGAGCTTCACGTAAACGCTTAATACTCAAATAATTATCTTTGCCAATAATTTGGCTTAAGCAAAAGAATTCATAACGTGCTACACCACGGAGAATAGGAGAATACTGTATCTTACTATTTTCTGGGAATAGTGCTATAAAATTGTTTCTTTTTTTGCTGTTTACATTTTTAGATATTGTTGGTGACGATCCGCCAAAAAGGCGAGAACTTTAAAACTTTGAGACAGACGGACACATGGACGAAGAAATCAGATTAAATATAATCAAAATCTACTTTGAGTAACGATTTCATTCTGTATGGATTTTATAATGTCCTGCTTTCTTTTCTCCAGTGGACAACATATATTCGCCTTTGCGGTTTGACACGCAAGGTTTTTCATTTCGATGCCGTGAACCGTGTTCTATCTGTAATATTGTAAATTTGTTTAGACAAAGAAACAACAGATTGTAAGAGTTGTTGAGAACCTCGCATTGGTCTAGTTGACCACTGTTGCGAATACCAATTCTCTGGAAATTCGTTACGATAGGATGATTCTATTATTGGTTGATAGGGGCAGTGTGTCATCGTTAAAATAAATTCTTCCACATTTTGTACTTTGCTCACTCAGAGCAATGAGCCGATTGAAATATTTTGAGAATAGAATTTTAAAAATGGCCTACATACATCGCTTATCCAATGCTGAAGTCTTGAGAAGAATAAACTTTGAACGTGAATTGAAAAAGAAAAAACTGCTAACTACGGACACATGACACGTGGAAAAAAAATGAGAATCTTCTACATTTTGTAGCGGAAGGAAGAGCCATAGACAGAAAACAAATGTCATGGTTAATGTAATATTTAAAGTTGGACAGGGCTGAGAACTGTAGGCGAAGCCATACACCCAGCAAGGAGTCGAGAAGTTTTCTGTCTTTAGTTAA